TGGGGGGCGGGGTTTGCGGTGCTCGGCGCCCGGACTCCTTCCGACCGCCCCCTCTTATGTGCACCCGTGAGCCCGAAACGCTCGAGCAGTTTCCTTTGTTTTCGGAAATGGCAGTTTTGTTCTCCCCGATAAAAGCGAGCGCCGCGGCCCCTCCGGATGCAGAGCCCGCCGGGCTTCGCTGAGCCCGGAAGGATGTCTTTGAAGAGCAGCTTTCGCGTGAAGCACGGGGGAGTGGGTGGGGTGGGGGGTGGGGAGTTGCAGGCGAGGGCAGCAAAGCAGGGAGGTGAAGGGAGAGGCTCAGAGTGGATGGGATGCCCTCTGCGAGGTCCTGGCCATCAGCGCTTTTCTTTCTGGAGCCAGCCTAAGTTGGGAGGGGAAGGAGGGGATGGTGATGGACAAATTCATTGCTTAAGTTCATATGTAAAACACATGATCTCGGTACCCCAAATTGTACCCCATCCTCTTCCACAGGTTCCCTGCATTTGCTGTATCCTTGCAATAAAGATACATTTTGTGCAAAAAGAGATCAGTGGAGTGGGCAGGGATGAGGGGTACAGAAGAGTTGGTAGCGTTTCGCAGGCCAGTATGGCCACCAAGGCTGAGGTTGCACAACTCTAACCTAGTCTTCTCGCCTTGGTGTCAGCTGTCCCAGTTCAGATGGAATAACCTGCTTTGAATAGTTTTTGGTTAAGCCCCTGGTGCCATTTCTACTCACCTATTTTGACTTGTAGTGCTTCTAAAATTTGCATCTTGTTTCCGCTCAGAATTGTGACTGGACCTGTAGCAACCGTGGCTGATACAGGAGCAAGACAAAGATTGAGTCCTGGTTTGGGACTCAGCTGAGATGGAAGACAGAAGGACCCAGGGAACTTAAAATCAAGGAGAACCCCTCACCTGCGAAGCTCTAAATGTTGCTGGTCTTTGGTATCTGACCCAGAGTTTATGAAATAAAGGCACAATGCATTGCAATTCCCAAAAATGTGTTATGAGAGATAGTACTTTCTGTTCTGAGGTAAGTCTATCAATATGAAGATGACCTGGCATGGAGATTAACTTGGGCAATTTATCCTAAAGTTATAAACTTCCACCTGTTGATTCAACCAAACCCATAAATACTCCCTGCCATCCACCCTGGGCAAAAAGCAAGGACTGCACATTTAACTTTTGGTCACCCATTTAATTGGGGCATCTGGTTTACGAATAAATTGTCCTGGTGACTGCTTACCACATTGTCCAAGCATTTCCCAACCCAGGCTCCAATGATCTGTCCAGCCTTGGTTTGACTGCCCATGGACAACGATGCTTCCTGGCATTGGCACGCGTTGTTCTCTCTTTCTGAAAAGCTCTCCTCCTCTTCCATGCTCTTCACCAACCCACATCTAACACTCCCTGTAAGGCTCAGTGTACACCTCTCTGGGATCTGGAGTGGAATATGAGATGCCCGCCCGCAGAAGTGAAAATGAGAAAGTATGGAGGACGAGATGTCTGCTTGACAATTTCTCCTGGGACTGACCGCGATGGAGAAGCTCTCAGACCTTCTCTGCTGTCTGATTTCTGTGCCTCAGAGAGGAGTGGGTGTGTGTGTGCCCAGCTTCACTTTGATAATCGCATAGATCTGTGGGTTGGCCATGTTTTCTCTAGTCTGAGGAGAGGTGAAAAGGGCAAGGCACTGTGTCCTTTCTGCCCTCTTAGGAACTCCTGTGAGAGGTCTGGGCTCCCTGGGGAAAATCTAGCCAGAGTTTTGTCTCAGGCTCTGCCCCCATCACTGCATCAACACTTTACTTTGGTGACATGAAAGGTTAAAAAAGCAGTATGGAAGCCCTCGGCAGTCTAGCTGCCCCCCACTTTTCCAGCCTCGTGTCTGGATCCTTCTCTGTAACCTCACCAGGCTACTGAAAGTTCTGCAAATATGCCAGGGCTTTCCATGCTCCTGTGTCTTTGCTCCTGTTCTTCCTTTTGTCCCAGAGGCCTTCTGACCTCTTCTCCTAGGCAATTTTCACTCATCTCCCAAGACTCCTTTCTTATATTATCTTCTCCCCAACCACCTGGGCAGATTAAAAAAGAAAAAAAAGAAAGATATATATAAAATTGATTTCAGAGAAGAAGGGAGAGGGAGAGAGAGACAGATACATCAATGACGAGAGAGAATCACTAATCGGCTGCCTCCTGCATGCCCCCCACTGATCGAGCCCGAAACCTGGGCATATGCCCTGACTGAGAATGCAACTGTGACCTCCCGATTCATAGGTCGATGCTCAACCACTGAGCCACACCAGCCAGGATACCTGGGCAGATTTTTGTGCTCTAATCTCTCTGCTCATACTTTGGTCAGTTTGGTCTCCCTGCTTCCACCCGCTTCCCTTCTAATCTGTTCTTCACATGGCAGCCACTGTGATCTTTCTACACATGTCAGATCAGGCCATTCCCCTGCCACCTTTCCAAGCCCAAAGCCAGGGTCTGGGTCTTCATGGCCTGCACGAGCCTACGTGACATGGTCCTTGGCTGCTGATCAGTTTCCATCCCAGAGCCTTTGTGCTTGCTGCTCCCTTGCATCATTCAGGTCTCTGCTCATCTCAGAAAAGCTTTCCTTGAATACCCTAAGAGTTTTATTTGTCTTTGTAGCAACTAGTGCTGTCCATCATTATGCTCATTTATATTTATTGTTTGTCTCTCCTACAAGGATATAAGTTCCACGAGCACAAAAACCTATGGCTGAATGCATAACTCGTGTTGAGCTCCTATCACATATTGCTATGGGACAGTGGACATCTGTCCTATTTATGGATACCCGTCACCTTTTGAATAGCTTTCCTTTATTTAGAACTCAGATCCCCAACCTCCCTTGCAATTGGGCTAAACAATGTGACTGAGGCGCTGCCAGTCAGGCTCCCGCATGTGAAACTTAAATGCAGGTGTGAGCAACCAGAGGGAACAGGCTCGGCGTGGCACTTCCAGTTTCCTAAAATGGGTAACAGCAGAGTTGGCCGGCGTTGGCAGCAGCACCGGCAGTTTCTCTGTGGTTGCAAGACTGGGTTGCCGATGCCGAAGCAGCATTGGTAGGGAGCTGCAATGGAGACCGTTTCCCCACTGGACTCGTTCTGCAGTGGTTTGTTTGTTTTGCATTATTCTTGGAGGCTTAGCTTTAATCATGAGTCTCTACACCAGTGGTTCTCAACCTTCTGGCCCTTTAAATACAGTTCCTCATGTTGTGACCCAACCATAAAATTATTTTTGTTGCTACTTCATAACTGTAATGTTGCTATTGTTATGAATCGTAATGTAAATATCTGATATGCAGGATGGTCTTAGGCGACCCCTGTGAAAGGGTTGTTCGACCGCCAAAGGGGTTGCGACCCACAGGCTGAGAACTGCTGCTCTACACCCTTCAACAATTCTAAGAGCTACCCAGTATCTTCAACACACTCCTTTTCTACTACATCAGCAAGGGTCAGCTTATCTTTCTCACAACTAAGGATCCTGACTTTATACAGCTGACTGTGTCTTTCCCTCCAGGAGGCTACACTCTCCATTAGGTGATTTACTATTATTGAGTATTACTATGTGGTGGAAAATGTCCTCACAGAGCTCACCGTCTAGTGGCAAGACAGATACTTACAGTCCAGTGTGATAGATGCTAAGATGTGATCATGGAAAAGCACACATTGGAGCCAGGATCTGGGTCTTCATGTTTGTATTTGAGTGTCTACACTTCCCATCATATTGAAATAATTTTCTATAAATTTGGATGGAGATAAACAGAACAGAGAACTTCTGGTACTCTACTCCCTTAGCAATGTTCTCTTTTCATCTGTCCTATATTTCCCATATGTCTGTGTCTTTGACTTAAGGTCAACGGAGGGTAGATCAAAGGTTGGAACCATGACTCATTCATTCGTTCAACCAGTCAATATCCAAAAATGTATTAAACACATGACATGTACCAGGTATTATGCTAGGTGCT